AAGTTTAGGGAATCAGGAGGTGAGTTACACATGGCAGAATTCCCAGCGTCTGCTCTTGTAGCCACGGTATTTATAAGGCTGGTCCAATTCAGTTTCTGGTCAATGGTAACTTGTAGAATGTTAATAGTAAGGGATTCAACGATGGCAATATCAAGGGAAAATGGCTGGAATTGGAGATGGTCATTCTCTGGCACTGGATTGTTAATTCTTGAATGGCTTGTCAAAGCATGTGTCCAAAAGTTGAATAACTTCAATTCTGGTCTGTCAGCAATATGGGTTTATTTCTTCACAGTCACCTCTAGATCTCATCAGTTACATTGTATCTGAACATTTCTCACTGATTAACTGCATCCTTTACGTAGGTCAGCATGACACCTATTCAATACATTATTGATCCATAACTTGTCCCGTTCTCATCACACACAAAAACCCCCTGCAGAAAAATCTGATGATTAGCATGATTTTACATTTGAAAATTGTCATTTCATTCTGTGGATCATGGCTAGTACCACCATGAATCTTTTCTTCTCGTGTTCTATCATTTTCACTCGAAATGTTTATGAACATTTCCCTCCACAGCTTCGCTACAGGGCATTTCAAATTTCATGGGCATTTTGTCCAAATTGCTGATGTAAAAACTGTTTTTGCCACCATGCAATGAATCGCTGGAAACTGGTAATTTTACAATTAGTCTATCCAATAAAACCTATCAGCAATCTTGATCTTCTGCCACAATACTAGACTGTTTTGTTCCATGCAGCAGCTACACCAACCAGCTTTTAGTCTGAAATCTTTGCTGGACTCAGGGTTTGATTGGGTCCATTTAACTGGCCATACACACATTGAATATCTGGTACAAAAACAGAAGTTACTGGAAAGGCTCAGCAGGTCTGGCAGCATCTGTGAAGTTAAAAAAAAATTAACGTTTTGGGTCCGGTGACCCTCCCTCAGAACTATCTGGTGCTGACGTAACCAATTTTTTTTTTCAGAGTGCATTTGGGATATGCTTTTCAAGGTCAAGCCAGTAGCTGGACCTGTTCTCATGGTGCATTGAGTCTTGGACATCCTCTCAGGGTAGATTGGTTGGTGTTCCATTCTCACACCAGCTTTTCACTGACAATGAAGTATTGTTATGCAGTTCAATTATTCGATCAGTTAACAAATGATACAAGTTTCAGTCACCGGACCCAAAATGTTAACACTGTTTTTTTCCTTCACAGATGCTGCTAGACTTGCTGAGCTTTTCCAGCAACTTTGAAAGCAGCTTCACCTTTCAATTTAAAAACCGAAAGAGCTGCAGATGCTGTAAATCAGGAACAAAAACAAAGTTGCTGGAAAAGCTCAGCAGGTCTGGCAGCATCTGTGAAGGAACAAAACAGAGTTAACGTTTCGGGTCCAGTGACCCTTCCTCAGAACTGATGGTGGCTGGGAAAATGTCGGTTTATATGCAGAAAATAGGGAGGTGGGTGGGGTAGGGAGTAAACAATAGGATAGAGCCCAAAGAGAGAGAAAGACAGTTGGACAGACAAAGGAGTTGTTAACGATCAGGCTGGGAGGGTGAACAGTTGTTAATGGGGACTGTTAGTGTGGGGTAGGGGGCTGGGACATGGGAGCGTTTAGGCCCTAAAATTATTGAACTCAATATTGAGTTGGGAGGGCTGTAGGGTCCCCAAGCGGAAAATGAGGCGTTGTTCCTCCAGCTTATATTGGGCTTCGCTGGAACACTGCAACAAGCCAGAGACAGATGTTGGCCAGGGAGCAGGGTGGTGCGTTAAAGTGGCAGGCAACAGGTAGTTCAGGGTCTTTTTTGCGAGCAGAATGTAGATATTCTGCAAAACGGTCGCCAAGTCTATGCTTAGTTTCCCCAATGTAGAGGAGACTTGGGATACATTATGGAAACAGAGTCAAATTATGCTGCAAACATTTAGAAGATAGAGGAGTTTCTGGAAGACATCTTAAGTTACTGAAGTAATTATAGAAAACAGAGGGGGATTTCATTTCTGAAGCAGGGTCTAGGCCCGAAACGTCAGCTTTCCTGCTCCTCTGATGCTGCTTGGCCTGCTGTGTTCATCCAGCTCTACATCTCGTTATCTCTTATTATCAGGGATTTCCAGGGTGATTTTTCTTAAAAGAGAATGTATTTTTTTTGGGGGGGTGGGGGGCGGTGGTGGGGTGGTGGTAGTGGGATTTGCGAGACGCTGTGGGCAGGTTGTACCAAACCAAGATGGGACTGGTTTAGTGGACCAGAGAGACCTTTCCAATTCTTTTTTACGTTCATTTAACTGTTCTCCACATCACAGAGACCTCTGTACTATAGATGACCTGTGTCAAACACGCATTTAGACTTATCCCCTTCCATCTCATCCCCATAAAATGGCAGCAAAGCACAACTGAACAGGAAACAACTGTAATAATGGACTAATTCCATGATAAATAATGAAGCAAGTACTTTTACAAGCATATGAAAACTAACCATTAGTAACCAGAGAGTTATCAATTAAAACAAAGTTCCGATGAATTCAGTCAAAATAACACAGGAATGTAACATGAAGATTGCCTTGTGATCACACGTCTGTAGCCTTTGTTTACGTACTTCCATAACCTTTAAATGTGTGGACTGAAAATACTTTATATTGAGACAAGACTTGATATAAAACCATTAAGATGCTTTATTTTACAGACAGAGAATCTTTTATTTTTGGCATAAGCTATTCAACTCAAGTGTGTAGAAAATGAAGTTATAAATGCTTGCTTCAATTAATTTCAAAATCTCTACTTGTGACTAAGAAAAAAATACATCACATCACACTATTGACATCAGCAAGTCAACAGTGTTCAGTACTGGCCGACTGAACTAATGAACGAATTTTCCCTTGCTAAATCAAATTCCTTACTCAGTTTTAATTTCACCAAACATTAAATGTGGCACAGCGGCTAACACTTCTGCCTCACAGCGCCAGGAACCTGGGTTCGGTTCCACCCTCGGGCGACTGTCTACGTGGAGTTTGCACATTCTCTCCATGTCTGCGTGGGTTTCCTCCGGGTGCTCTGGTTTCCTCCCACAGTCCAAACATGTGCAGGCTAGGTGGATTGGCCATGCTAATTTGCCCATAGTGTTCAGGGATGTGTAGATTAGGTGGGTTATAGGGGGATGGGTCTGGGTGGGATGCTCCGAGGGTCGGTGTGGATTTGTTGGGCCAAAGGGCCTGTTTCCACACTGCAGGGATTCTAAATAAGGCATTTTATTTTGCTACTTATGATCACAGAATATGGGTGAATTGTCTGACATTTTCTCTGTTCAGTTAATGCAAGCATGTGCATTTATTATATAATGCCTTATCAGGTAATCCCAAAGCACTCCGTGACTCAAGTGCTCTGAAGTACATTCATTGTTGCAACACAAGTAAACATGGCAGGTTATCTGTGCAGCAATGTCCCACAAATAACTGGGAGATAAATTAACAGCGTGTCTGATTCAGGGCTTTGATTCAGGATAAATGTTGGTCAAGACACCAGAACATACTTGCTCTTGTTCTTGTGAGAGCCAAACATTTGAGTTTTCTTTTTACAGCCAACCTGATTTATCTTTGCTTCAGCATCTCTTTAAGGACGGCAACTCTAACCCACGAACACTTCAATACCAAACTAGAGGTGTTCTTAAATCATTGGTGTGGAGCTTGAACCTGTGAACATTTGACTTCATCGAGATTACTAACACTGAAGCAAGGCTGAAACTCCAGTTTCTCAGTAAACCTGCCTTAAAGTCCACTACTTCACTGCAAGAGTTGATTCTGAGAAGATGGCTGTGCTGGGCTTAAATTAATAGTTTACATTAACAATAAAAGGTATAGAAAATGTGAAGCAAGTTAATGAATTAACATTCAGCCACAGCTAATGTTAATTAGCACTCCTTTGCTTTTTAGTGACTGCAGAATAACACTGCATGAAAACTTCTAAACCAGCCATTAAAAAATATTCATGAGGGGTTTGTACATTACCTGTAAGAGCAGCATCTGTTGTTCACCCATAAATATTCTTGAAAAGATGGTGGTGAGCTGACGTAGGTAACTCTGTTAGGAAAGAAATTCCAAGATTTTCACTCTGTACCACCAAAGGAATGGAGCTGTCATTTCAAGTCAGATTGTTTGATGTATGCTTTGGAGGGGGTACTTGGAGCTGATGATGGACCAATGCATCTGTTGTCCTTGTTCTTCAAATGTAGTAGAGATCATGGGCTCGGCTTGAGTCTTGGCAAATTGCTGTGGTGTATTTTCTGGATGCTACACATTACTGTTTTTCTGATCGCGAGGTGGAGGGGATGGTGGCTGAAGCAGAGCATTTTGTCCTAAATGGTATTATCTTTGTTGAGTATTTTAATTCCACTTTAAAGCATGCTACTTAAACGCAAATCATTTCCAAATCTTTTCTATTGCACTGGAACCAAATAAGCCAACATAGAGACAGAGAATATATGGTCTCTACTTGTGTTGCAAATCTCAATTCTCTTGAAATATATGAGTCTAATTCTCTTCATCTAAAAACCTTTTAATAACAGTTTTGATTACTTCTGGCTATGGTATCACTGGCCTTTTGTGCAAGTTATCTGCTTAAGTGAATGAGTAAATTCCAATTTCATTTTACCTCAACTGGAATCACTTCTAGCCTTTGAATCCACAATGTACAAAAGCAAATGTTGTAGAGATGTAGGTTTTAGATGACAAGAAATGCAAAATTATCAGTGCAATAGTGCAAAATTATCTTGAACCACAATGCACATGAAGGATAACATACAACAGATTATTCACAAGTAGTTTCAACATTAATCTCAAAGTGAACAGATATCATTCTTGTTGCTCCTTGTTCAATTCCCTGATTGCATTTTGTTCATTATGATTGAAATCTGTGTCCATAATCATCTTCTTTACAATACGAAGCCAAAGCTAATGCAGCATGCAATGTTGAACTTCAACAGAGTGTATTCAAGGAATGATAACAGAACAGTAGAATCATTCTCTTTATTGGTACAAATATATACAGAAAGAAATCCCCTCTACACTGGAACTAACTTACAGTGAGCATTATGCACCACTGGAAGGTATAACGATTAAATCATTTCAGATGTAAAAGCAGGTAGGTAAACAGATCATCAGTTAGCCTAATGATTAACATAAAAAATAAACTTCCCAGTTCCAACAGTCCATTAGCATGAAACTGCTAAAAGTTACACCCCACATGATGGACCCACCACCCCACATGTTCTTGCTCATTGTGCTTATGGCAATGTTTGTGAAAAAAGATTTAATAATCTGAAATGGAGTATCTGTACACCTGGAGGCCAAAATATGCCTTGTTAGATGACTACAAACATTTATCCAAGCTTCTTTTTTATTTATAATAAATTATACAAATTTATTCCTTTACTGTGCTCAGTTAGTATCATTATTTTACTCAATTGCATACAGGATTATATCTTGTGTGCACATCCGACACACAAATAAGCACACAGGAGTACATCCGTAAGCTTGCTGTTCATTGTACAGAAGCTGACCTTAAAAAGTTTCCAGTTTGGTTGCTTGGTTTACAATGTCTTTGTACAAGGCATGTATTCCCATGGCAGCTGTTTAACAGAATTCCGGTATATGAGAAAAATTGCCAACATTCGCAGGCATGGTAGCAAAATTATAAAAAAAAAAGAAATGTCGATTTGTCAGAAGTGGGAAGCAGGGAAGATTGAAGAAGGAAAAGATAGGAATCACCGGGATAAGAGAAAAATACTGTGCATGCAGCAAATAAATGTAATAAACAAACAAACAAACAAACAAACAAACAATCTTTTAAAGAACCAAGCTTTTCTTTTAAAAGAAAAAAAGATTGTTTTCGAAGCAGGAATTTTCCAATTTTAATGATTTTTAATTTGATGGCTGCTGGTGAATAGAAACATCTCAGATCATCTTTACACCCTGAATACTTGTATTACTGTGTGCTCTTGTGCTGCGCAACCACCTAATCCAAAAACCTCTATACAAATATGTAGTCTTTGTCTCCTTCCTCTCCAGAATCACTGGACTTGCTGCCATTCTTTCCCTCCACTTTTGAATGCTGCCGCTCACTCTTGGGCATCTTTTCCTTTCCTCGCAATTCTTGATCTTCTGAAAACCGGCCTGGTTTGCCATCATCAGAGCGTGGGCTTTGCCTGGAACTTGTTTCTGACACAGAACTTTGGCGTACTGGTAAATTTTAACAAGAATAAAGAAGAAAATATTACTGTGAAGCACATCAAAAAACAAAACAGATGACAAAACAGGTACATGGAATTACAATTAGTACATGAGAACATGTTCAGAAAATTGAATTTTACATTGAAGCTTTGAATGACTAAGATTGTTATCAAGCCTAATCCTAAAGCAACTTAAGTTTTGAAATCCATACTTGTCTCACTATGCAATGGGAAAACAAAAACACTTCAGTGGCTGAATTTGCAGTGCTGAAAATTCAACCAGTTCAATCCAGCAGGCCAGAATTCAAACTTAGAAATTTGTACAGCATACATGGAATGCGAATCAGCTTGATACAAATACCAGCACAGTTCTCCAGATATAAACTAAACAAAAATATTGCTCATTTGAAGATCTTAGAGCCAAAATTAATTTACAAAATAAGAACTTGTTGAAAAATCTCAGCACATCAGGCAGCATCTGTGGATGGAAAACAGAGTTAACATTTCGGATCTATGACCCTTCTTCAGAACTAACTGTAGCTAGGAAAAGGTTGGAATATATGCTCGAGAAAGGGTGGGAGTGGGGCAAGGAATAAAAAATAGGTGGAGATGGAGACCAGAGAGTGGGAAAAGAGAGCAGTTTCTGATTGGTCAGTGTTGGTCAGGTGCTAGTTTGTGTTAATCTGTTCATTCTGTTGGTGCTGCAGGTGAAGAAAGCTCACTGCATTATAGGGTAAATGTATCCCAGTCCTTCCAAAGGGTTCGTACAGTTAGTTCATCTTCTAGTTTGTACAGGGAGTTCAGATAGGAAGTTGTGGGGGGCTATGTTAGAAAGTAACAACTGTAATTTTCAGGTAGCTAATTAAAATTTAACTTGTAAACTAACAGTCAATAGAGGGTTAGTCATGTCAGTTGGTGGGGTTTTGTGTTCCACCTGCAAGATTTGGTCAGGCATGGACACAGAGAATCCCTGATAATTACAACAAAAGGAAGTGTACCCAGCTTCAGCTGCTCACCCGAGAGATTGGCTTAGGTGGCAATTTGAGACACCAAGGAGCACACAAATGATGGAGACTGTCATAGATAGAAGTTATAGAAACAGGGTCACATGCAAGGTACAGGGAAATAGATGGGTGACCGCTAGAAGGGGCGGGCTGTCAGTGCAGGAGTGCCCTGCAGCTGTCCCCCTATCAAACAAGTATTCTGTTTTGGAGACAGCAAGAAGTGCAGATGTTGGAAGTCAGAGTCAATAGTGTAGAACTGGAGGAACACAGCAGGTCAGGCAGCATCAGAGGAGCAGGGAAGTTGCTGTTTCAGATCAGGACTCTTCATCAGGACTGTGAAGGGGGAAGGGAGCTGGGAAATAAATTGAGGGAGAAGGGGTTTGGGGCTGGGGTAGGTAGATATGATGGCGATAGGTGGATGCAGGTAGGGGTTTGTGGGGATTGGCCAGTGGGAAGGGAGGGGCAGATAGGTGGGAGAGAAGATGGACCGGTTGTGTCAGGTCAAGGAGGTGGGGATGAAAGGGAGGGTTGGACGAGACGAGGCTGGGGGTGGGGAGATTTTGAAACTGGTAAATTCTACATTCAGGCCATCGGGTTGTAGGCTCCCAAGGTGGATATGAGGTGTTGTTCCTCCAGTTTGTGCATGACGTCATTGTGGCACTGGAGGAGGCCCAGGATGGACATGTCAAGAAGGGATTGGGAGGGAGAGTTAAAATGGTTGGCAACCAGAAGGTGTTGTTGATTACAGTGTACAGAGCACAGATGCTCCGTGAATCGGTCACCGAGTGTGCACTTGGGCTCTTCGATGTAGAGGAGACCACATTAGGAGCAACAAATACAGTAGATCAGATCGGAGGATGTACAGGTGAACCCCTGTCAGATTTGGAAAGTTTGTCTTGGGCCTTGAATGGAGGTGAGGTGGGGGGAGGTGTAGGGGCAGGTGCAGCACTTCCAGTGGTTGCAGGGAAAGGTGCCAGGTGCGGTGGGATTAGCGGGGAGTGTGGAGTGGATGAGGGAGTCGCGGAGTGAGTGTTCCCCACGAAAGGCAGATAAGGGTGGGGAGGGAAATGTCTTCAGTCATGGTGTCCAATTGCAGGTGGTGGAACTGGTGGAGAATGATACATTGGATGCGGTGGTTGGTGGGGTGATATGTGAGGACAAGGGGGGATTCTGTCTTTATTTTTGTTGGGGCAGTGGTGCAGGAAATACAAGAGATGTGGTTGACAGCATTTTGGATCAACAGGGGGGGTTACGGTCATTGAAGTAGGAGGACATCTGGGATGTCTGGTATGGAACGCTCCATCTTGGGAGCAGATGCGGCGGAGGCAGAGGAATTGGGAGAAAGGAATTGCATTCTTGCAGGACAGTGGGCGAGAGGAGGTGTAGTCCAGGTAGCTATAGGAGTTGGTGGATTTGAAATAGGTGTCGGTGCTGAGACAGTTACTGGAGATGGAGACAGAGAGGTCCAGGAAGGGGAGGGAGGTATCGGAAACGGTCCAGGTGTATTGGAGGTTGGGGTGAAAGGTGTTAGCAAAGTTGATGAACTGTTCAAGCTCCTCATGGGAGCATGAGGCAGTGCCGATACAGTCATCAGTGTAGAAGAGGAAGAGGTGGGGGATAGTGCCAGCGTAACTGAGGAAAAGGGACTGTTCCACGTGTCCTACGATGAGGTAGGCATAGCTCGGATCCATGCAGGTGTCCATGGCCACCCCCTTATTCTGTAGGAACTGTGAGGAGTTAAAGGAAAAGTTGTTGAGGGTAAGGACAAGTTCCGTTAAGCGGATGAGGGTATTGGTGGAGGGGGACTGGTTGGGCCTGCGGGAGAGGAAGCAGAGGGCTTTTAGGTCATCTGCATGGGGGATACAAGTGTACAGGGATTGGATGTCCATAGTGAAGATGAGGTTTTGGACGTTGGGATAATTGAAAGTCTTGGAGGACTTAGAAGACGTGGATAGTGTCCTGAACGTAGGAGGAGAATGCCCGGACTGGGGGGAAAATAGAGTGGAGGTAAGTGGAGATAAGTTCAGTGGGGCAGGAGCAGGCAGAGACAATGGGTTGACTCCAGTAGTCAAGTTTGTGGATTTTGGGAAGGAGATAGGAACGGGTGGTGTGGGGTTGGGGAACAATGAGGTTGGAGGCTGCAGGTGGGAGGTCACCTGAGGGGATAAGACTATGGATGGTCTGGGAGATGATGGTTTGGTGATCAGGGGTGGGGTCAAGATCAAGGGGGCGGTAGGAGGAGGTATCAGAGAGTTGGCGCCTGGCCTCGGCTATGTAGGGGTCAGTACACCATACCACACCACTACTGCACGCCCCTTATCCGCGGGTTTGATGGGGAGGTTGGGGTTGGAGTTGGAGTAGAGGGAGCGGAGGGCTGTGCGTTCCGTGGGGGAGAGGTTGGGGTGAGTGAGACAGGTGGAGAGGTTGAGGTGATTGATGTCGCGACAGCAGTTGGAGATGAAGAGGTCGAGGGAGGGTAGGAGGCCAGGAGGCCTTGGAGTGGTGTCCAAAAGGATGGGGTTTGTTAGACGTGGGAGAAGGGTCTGTAGAGGGTGGGTTAGTCTCGCGGTTAAAGAAATAGGCATGGAGGCTGAGGAAAGAGAGTTCAACATCCAGACATGTACAGAATGCTTTGATGTGTGCACACAGGGAAATCAAGGTGAGTCCTTTGCTGAGGACTGACCGGTCATCCTCAGTGAGGGGGAGATCTGGGGGGATGGTGAAGACCTTGCAGGGCTAGGTGTAGAGCTGGAGCTGGGAGTTGGGGTGGAGACTACCTAGGGAGTGGGTGTATGTACGGGATGGAAGCAGAAGGGACATTGTCAACATTGGTGGCAAAATACTGAACAGGGGGTTGTCCCATCAGGTGACAGCAACAGCAGCCAGGGCAGTAGGACCGTGACTGGCTCTGCTATACAGAGGGGAGGGACAAAGCATAGTAGGGCAATAGTAATCAGGGATTCAATAGCCAGGGGCACGGATTGGTGCTTCTGTGGCCTGGAGAGTGACTCCAGAATAGGATGTTGCCTCCCGGGTGCCAGGATCATTGATGTCTCTGACCGGGTACAGGGCATCCTGAAATGGGAAGGTAAATAGACAGAAGTCATTGTCCATATTGGCACAAATGACATAGATAGGAAGAGTGACAAGGTGCTAAAACAACAATTCAGGGAGTTGGATATAAACTAAAAAGCAGGACCTCTCAGGAAATCTCAAGATTACCCTCCATGCCATATGCTACTGAGGGTGGGAACAGAGACAGAATACAAGTGAACACATGACTAAACAGCTGCTCTAAAAGGTGGTTTGGGGGTGGGGGGGGGAGCTTCAGCTATGTGGATCACTGAGATGTCTTCCAGTGAATGTGGGACCTTACAAGGAGGACAGGTTGGACCCAAACTGGAGAGTCACCAATATCCTGGCAGGGAGTTTTGATAGTGCCACTCAGGAGGGTTTAAACTAATGTGGTAGGGGAGTGGGAACCAGAGCAGCAGGTCAGTAAGTATAGACATTAGTGAAGAGCTCGAGTGTAAGGAAAATATAGCTAAGAGGAAGAGCAGTTGAGGAGAGGTTGGTGAACTCCATGGAACTGGAGACAATGCAAGAAGTATAACAGGTAAGATGGATAAATTTAGACCCTGGATTAAAGCATGCAATTATGATGTTGTTGCTATCATAGAGACATGGTTAAAAGTGGTACAGGATTGGCAGCTTAACATTCTGAGATGTCAATATTTTAGATAAGGCAGAGGAGGAAATAAAAGAAGTGGGGGAAATTGTATTACCGGCTGGGGAGCATGTCACAGCTGTGTTGAGGGAGGACACCCTGGAGAAAGGGGATAGGATGTGCAGGAGATAGGAGAAGAGATATGTATTCAGATTCTGGAAAATGTGAAAATAACAAGGTTGTTGTGGTGGGTGATTTTAACTTCTCCCAAGTTGAAAGGGACTCCCTTAGTGCCAGATGGGGAGCAATTTGTTAGGTGTGTCCAGGAGGGTTTTTTGA